TCCCGGGGAGGGTTTGGGGCCACCGGGCCTGCGCACTCACACCGCGGGGACCTGGCCCCCAGGACGGGGCGAGGAACTCGGTGCCCATTCAGGCATTGCCTCCCTCGGTCTCTCCTCTCTCCGCTGGGTGCCAGGGTGCAGGGCGGCAGGAGGGCGCATGGGGCAGAGCCTCCTCCTCCCAGAGCCCTGGACCTGGCCCCCGGGAGGGGGCGAGGAATCGGTGCCCATTCAGGCATTGCCTCCCTCGGCCTCTCCGCTGGGTGCCGGGGTGCAGGGCGGCAGGAGGGCGCATGGGGCAGAGCCTCCTCCTCCCAGAGCCCTGGCAACCTGTCTGGGGCACCTGGCGGCGGAGGGCAGAGACCCAGGAGCCAGCGGAGGGGTGAGGCCGGGAGGAGGGAGAGTGGGGGGCGGACCGCTGGTAAGTGTAGGGGCCCGCCGCACCTGGATCAGGTGAGGGGGTGGCAGTGAGCCCAGCAGGGGGAGAGCCCTCAGGACAAACTGCTCGATGGTGCCCAGCCTCCTGCCACCCCTGGTCCCATCTCCAACCTCCCCCGTCCCCCCAATCATGAGAATCACTTGTGGAGCCTTTTTAATATATTGATTTCAAAGAGGAAGGGAGAGGGAGAGAGAATCATTGATTAGCTGCCTCCTGCACGCCCCCTACTGGGGATCGAGCCCGCAACCCGGGCATGTGCCCTTGGCCGGAATCGAACCCGGGACCCTTCAGTCCGCAGGCCGACGGTCTATCCACTGAGCCACACCGGCCAGGGCCCCAGGTCTCCTTTAAAAGAATCCGTGTGCGGGGAGGTGGGAGGAGTCGTGCTAGGACTGTAGCAGTAGCCACCATGCCCTGAGCACACACTGGGGGCCGGTGCTGGTCCGCCTGCTGTCTTATTGGACTCCGATGTCAGCAGCCGAAGTGGTGATGGGATCCCTGCATCACAGAAGATGGGGCTGAGCTTTGGTGAATTTTTTTAAGCAGCCGCGTCGACGTCACGGGCAAGCAGGCAAGCCCTGGCGCCGACCCGGGAACCAGCTGTGTGGCTCTGGCCTCCTCCCCTCTGGGCCACGGCCGCGCCTGCGCCTGATGTCGGCCTCCATCAGCACCAGAGGAGCGCTTGCTTCCCAGGCCGCAGGGACCTTGTGAAAATGCAGATGCCACCCGCCCGCCCGGTGCTTGGGGTGGGGCCTGGGACCCGGCTTCTCCCCGCGG